GTGAAAGGTTACAAGAATAAAATTTGAGGTTATATTCATAATGGAGGGAAGTAATGCAGCAACAATTTTGTGTAGTGGACATCCACAATATATTATTTTATAACATTATAATACTTTTTTTCTTCATTATTTGATTATTAATACTACTTATCTCAAGTAAAAATCATAAATCTTGAAAAGGTTTAGTTTTGCTTATTTAATCAGTAATAAACTATAAAATTGAATATACATGAGACTACACCTCGTAAATCCAAGGGACTTACACCCCTTGCCTCGAAGTTTACATCTCGCTTCGTACTGTATGAAACGTCTCGCCTTACGCTCCTACCTTTTAAAATACTGATATATAATATTTTTATGTTTAAAATTAAACTCAATATTAAATTTCTTAATTGTTATGGTTCACTCTCCCACATATTTTGTTGACACTCTTAAAGGTTTTTTATTCACTCTCGATCATTTTCTTCCTATTCATTTTACCGTCATTTTATTAGAAGTTCTTTTTTTTTTCATTTAAATACCTTATAATTTTACAAGTTACTTATAAAATTCAATTATTTGAAGTTAGATTCAAAATCTAACTTATATAGCTCTGATTAGTGTAAATTTATTCAAACTTTTAATGATAATTGTTATTCTATTAGTAATGAAATTTGAACTTTTACTTCAAAGAAAGAAACGTTCTGATTTATAAATAGGAGAGTAATAGAAAATTATGAAAGTCACTTATTATGCATAGCTAGATAAATATATATATTTTAATATATATTATATCTTAATATTCTTCAACTTTTATATAATTTAAATTTTTTTATTTTTTAATATCCTTTAGTTAAAATTTTGACACTATATTATGAATAAAGCAGAAAAAGTAGGAACTGTTCCTCTGCGGCTTGATAAGCTTTAATGTAATTTGGTTTGTCGCACAAATATGTGACCACATCATTCATGGGCTACTAGTAATGCAACCGCTTTTGTTTGGTTTTATTCGTGTAAAAATTATGTAAATCACATAGCGTAAAACATAAATTATCTCCTATCTCTATTTTTTTTCAATTTACAAAAAATCTCTTATTTTTAATTAGTTTCTAATACATAATAAAATAGTCGGATACATTATATAGTATTTCATTTTATCCGTTTGTTGAGTAATTTGGGGGATTTTTATCCGTTTGTTGAGTAATTAGAGGGATTAAAAACTGAAATTTGAATTAATTCCTACTTTTAATATGCCATGGTTATTATTCCCTTAAATAAAGGCATTAAGTTGTGTGTTTCAAAAGCAGTTGTATTCCCTTAAAATTTGTCATTAGTGATCTTCTCTTCTTTTAGGCAGAAACGATATTTTGATTTTGATTAGTGATCTTCCATTTTGTATCCGGTTTCGTAATGAATATTACGATATTGCTAAGGCATTCAGGAATATGGGAGAGTGAGGTTAAATACAATCAATACAAAAGTGATGGGATAGTGATTGGAGAAAATATTTCATATATGAATCTAATCTCAGCAATTGCTACTGAATTAAATATTGATGAATTGAAAAAAAATATTATTATCCGATATATTGTAGAGGGCAATTCTTCTCCGATGATAATTAAGAATGATATGGGTGTGAAGTT